ATTCTTGCTTTGTAAACAATAGGACGTTCGGTAACTTTCATTCGACTTTGCCAGTCGAGAAGTTCGAGTAATCGTACGGGTGTAACGTCATTTCGATTCGGCTTCGAATATGACAGTTTGACGTTCGATTCGGGTGTTGTGAATAGAAATTAAAAGAAAACGTACGATATCAAATCGAATCGGTCGACTACTGAGTTATCTTAAGGTTTTAATTCGACCCCCTTGTGACGGTGTGATCTCCTTACACCGTCATCCCACCTTTTTGTATCACCTCTCTCCATTCGTATCGAATCGTTTTTTCTTCTTCTACTTATATTTAAATTGAAAATTTTGAATTGTTCCATTATTTCCGTCGCATTCTGATTTTGTTTCGTTCCATCGTCACTCTCTGCGTGATCGCGGTAGCAAAAACATCTACTTTCTTATTTTTGAATCATTTATCACTTACTTAAATCTCTTGTACACCGTTTACATTTTAAGATATTAATATTGTTGTTGTACTGAATAAATTCCTATAAACCGGACTTTCGTCTTTTCAACTGCTAAAACTTGCTAAGTAAGACGTATGGAGGCTGCGGGGATTGCGGAGGCTATTACTACCCTTGGTCCAAGCTGTATTACTGCTATCCAGGCTATTTTACAGTCTACAGAACGCCACCAGCACCAGCAGCGCTATTACACCCTGGTCTCCGATTCAGAAGTCTTCGATATTTTAACCAATCGTTCGATTGAATTTCGTTCTCGAATGAAAGGGCGCTTTCTGAACTATTTAGAAATTTCGAGTTAAACATTCGATTCGGTTACGATATTATTATCCAACAGCGTTTACGGAGTTAGTCGGTGAAATAATTTATTTCATATATAAGAAAAAATAAAATCTTTTTATATACTTTTTAACACTAAATTATAGGAATGCATAAGTTTAGCATTAAAATAAATTAATAAAACCTTATAAAATCTAGACTTTATTTAAAATATTAAGAGTTTTCCATATCACATTCTTGCTTTGTAAACAATAAGACGTTTGATGTAATCGTACGGGTGTGACGTCATTTCGGTTCGGTTTCGAATAAGACAGTTTGACATTTGATTCGAGTGTTGTGAATAAAAATGAAAAAAAATTGCACGACATCAAATCAGTCGACAATTGAGTAAGGTAAGGTAAGGTTCTGAATCCACCCCCTGGTCATACCGGGGTTGGCGAGGTAGCCGGTTCGAATCCAGGCGTATCATAGGAAATTTGTTTGTTTTCAATCTTTGTGTTAATAATTATAACAAACTGGCGGAGTAATTCAACAAATAGTAAAACATCGTGATATTCAATTCACTCATTTCTCAACGTAGTAGAAAAATGATGACAATGTAGGAGCAACATTGACTAATCCTTTTTGGCAAAATGTGACTGTAATAGTTATTTTTGATACAAGTGCGGAAAGTTAGTCATTATTCACGAGTCTCGAGGCTTCTTGGCCCGAATCAGAGGCGAGGGTCAAGACTCGAGACAAGTGAAAGTGATAAATCCGCACGTGTATCAAACGACGTTTTTTAATACATATGCAAAAAACTACATTGAAAGTAAAATAAAATACTATTTAAAAAAAGTAAATGATAAAGGCGGGAATGTAAATGAAAAAAGTTAGTATTTTTTTTGGTCGACTTTTTTCAATATGGCAACTATGGATTTCTAACCAATATGGATTTCTATATGAATTAAATATTTTGAATTTGAATTTGTTACGCGATAACCCCCGGCATTTGTGAATCGATTTTGATGTTTATTTTTTATTGGAACGAGGGTACCTCAGTATTGGTCCCTCATTGGTTGCTCAGTATTAAAATTTTACTGTCTCAAATAATTTTGTACCGTGATTATTATATTGAAAGCGGTTAACGGAAAGTGTACATCACTTCAGAGTATTGAAAAAATCGACTTCAAAAGTTCGTGGAATTATATCTATTTGTCAAAGTTTATTAAAATCGGTTACTCTTGGCAGTGAAATATTTTCTTCAAATTTAAATGAGACCAATACTAAGGAACCTTCTTTGTAACAAAAAAATCATCAAAATCGGTTCACAAATGTCGGAATAATCACGTAACAAACACACAAAAATCGCTTCCACGTTTATATGGCGAACAGCTATGCAGTGGTATTCCCTGCCTGCGGACTTGTTTCCTGAACGGTTATAACTTGGGCCTTTTAAAGGCGAGAATATTTAGATGTGCATGCTCCATCATCAACACTATCGTCATTTTCCATCAGGTGATATGAAGGTGAAATGAGCACTTATTTTTCTAATAAAAAAAGAACAAAAAATAAATAAAAAGTACAGTACAATTAAGAACCTGGTTTTTTTTAACATCGGTTAAAAACATAAAATTCAGTTATTACAATAACATGTGCACCAAAACATCGAATTATATTTAATTAACACAATAAACAGTGTTGGTTGGAATAATTAGAAGGAATATGAGGAATTACATTCATTGTTTTCCTTGTAATTTTAAATTAGGTGGTGTTGGTATCCGTTATTTAATAATAATCTGTTTTTCCTCTCGGTTGACTGATATTTACAAATTTGTGCAAATTGTGCAATAAGGTATAAAAATTAGCATATACTTAAGATTTATATAAGGTATCGTAATCATGTACACTTCTTTAGAGTGCGTAAGTAAGCACTTACTGCCAGGTGGAGGGCATTTCTCCCAGAACGGCTAAATTGTCTGACTTCAGTGGTCGATTTTTTTTCCTAATTTCAGGAAAAACTTTGAGCAGGAAGGAAAAAGAACTGAAACTTACATTAGATTCCGTTAATTGGGTAACTAGATTCTTAATACTTAATGACATATTTGATCCACCGAATTCAGCTACCACCGAAATCAGGATTTCTTGACAAAAGGCGTAATTTTTGTATGTTATATGTTATGAATAAGGCAATAAAAACATTCAATAATCTATATAAACATTTACTAATATGACTAACTATTAAACCAGGCTTTAAAAACTAAAATTTATTTGTAAATTGACCAGAATAACGCCAACAAATTTCATTTTATGACTATTAAAATCAGTTTACAGTTTGGCTGTTCAGACTTTTTCCAATCACACAAAGTATTTCCTTACCTCTTTTTTTTTTTAAATTAGGACAATGTGTAACTACGAAAGCAATAAATTTTTGGAAACTTGCGCGATTAATATCTTTCGTTAATATCTTTGCGGACACCAGCCCGTTGCACCAAGTACCAAGTACCAATATCTTTCGTTACTTTTTGTACATGACGAGGTAATTCATGTAGCTTTAAAATCTTTCTTTCCGCTTTTTCTTCGCATACCCCTGTCTATCTTTTTCTTTAAACCTTTCATATCGGATCGCTTCTTATCTTTGCTTTTCTAGCAAGTTCCTTCATCTTCTTGATTTCCAGTTTTTGGTTTCTGTTTTGATATTCCTTATTCATTTTCAGTGGGAAGCAAGTAGTAGTATAAAATTGTGAAAATCAACAGTTAACGAAACGTTTATATGAAAAAACGTATAAAATTCTTGCTTTTCAAAAAAATATGGCTTCGATGGCAGATTTTTCCGACTTCGGTTAAAGCTTTTCTGATTTCGGTGGCATAAAGGCCACGGGATTCTAAAAATATACATATTTTTGATATTACTCGTAAACGACAATACTTGTAAAACCTATAAATTTTTATTATATTTCAGTCGTTACAACATATAGTATAAAAAATATTACATACAACCATAAAATTAAGTTTTTGAAATATCGTATAGACCGAATTCAAAAATCAACCTGGACCAAATCCACGTTAGTTACGCGAAAAGTCCTAAAATCGTCAATAAATCGTCCACATGTTCTTTCTAGCCGCAGGGGCAACATGGACGAACAATATGAACGTATTCCGAAGCTTCTAAAATGCTTCACTTCTGGGGGTCTAATCTCGATCTCCGTCCGACATCCGTCCGAAACAATTACTGCCAAATAAGCAATACTTGACCAAATGAAAAGACGCGTGATGCTAATGAAGCTTAGTTCTTGATACTTGTCCTTTAATTTTGTCGAATATTACTCATTTGACAGTAATTGTTTCGGACGGATGTCGGACGGAGATCGAGAGTAGACCCCCTGATGTGTAGCGTGATTAGTAACTACCATCGAATTACCCCGTAAGCCTGGGACACGCAGCAATCTTGGTATTGTGATAAAACTATTTGTCTAGTTTATTGTGAAATTCAGATTAGAAGTACAGTCATCTAATATGTTATACGTGAACTAAAGTCTAATATTGATATACGGTTTCAATTTTGAGAAAAATTACACTTTGTTTGGAATTTTGCATTCGGGACACGTTGTCAGGTTTTAGACCTTTCGGATTTTTTTCCACTAGATCCGAAAGGTTTATTTGGAAAATTTTGTGCTCTCCAGTTAGCTCTCGACCTATATTGTACACTCTTTCTTTTGTAGATTTTTGTTTTGATAAATAAGTGGATTTTAGTGCATGGACACTGAAAATTGCGGCTTTGGACAAAAGCCCTGGACCATTTTGGCTTAAGGCCTTAACACAGATCTCTGTTCAGATTTGGTAGATAACGAACACAACGAACATCAGTTTCATAATGTTAATAGCGTAGAATTTAATTTTAGTAGCAGGTAGCGACCATTGTATGAGAGTTTGTCTAGAGATACTTCTCTACCATACATATTTCTGCCGCCAAGCAGTAACTTAAGGGTTACTACGTTCTGGTTTTGAATGGAATGTGTGCTGGTAAAAATACACGCACATATTACAGGCACAAGGGACTTGTCAACTTTGTGTCTCAAGGTGATGGGCACAGTGGCAGTGCCCCTAAGATTTTTGCAATTTAAAGCTCTGAATGGCACTGCAACTGTTATGGATACGCGGGTCGGTTACCATCAGGCGTATGACTTGTTCGTCTGTCGCGCCATATGATATCATAAATAAAAAGAGACAAATTTGTAAATTAAACAATTTATTTTAATCGTAACTATTTACTCTCGTATTTAAACTCGATGACATCGGTAGCCTAACGGTTTGCTTAATGAGCGCTGGATGAGGAGGTCCCGGGTTCGATTCCCGGTAAGACCAATTTGGGGAAATGACATTTTTTTAAATTGGTCTGTGCGTTCTGGGTAGTGCCCCGGACTGACTTCCTTTGCGCTGGTATTTTTAGGACTGGGATTCCCTAGTTTGAGATGAGGTATTTGGTGTGGCTGTCTGATTTATTATTATATTATACTATTGTTATTATGAAACACGTCAAAAGCGACATGACTATGACATCATAATCTTTATTATATTTACTTCTTTACTGAACTGTCTCAAAAGACAAATCGTCAAAGACAAGGAGACGATGTCTGCGATTGATTGCAGCATGCACTTAATTAGTCTGAGTCTATATTATGTGAGAATTAAACGTGGAAAAGGATAAAGGGATCGTATTATTTCATATTGTCATATCTAACAGTTTGAAATATCTGGAAGTGTTTTGTTCTTGCAATGATTGCGCCAACCGTACCATGCGTTAAAATTATGACGTTTGAAGATTTTCTTAGCACACGTAGCAGATTTCGTTATGTCATCTGTCAGCAGCTCTGGTAAAGAAACATAACATTTAAATTAAAATTACAAAACAGTGTACATCAAAAAGCTCAATGACGTCAGCGTATCCGTAACAAATCGTCAAGACCAAAATTAAGTGAACCCAAACACGATAATTTTGCCTACTGTAGCAGTTTAGTAGCAGTAGAGCTTCTTGTGAAATAGTTCGTCCAGGGAAGTACTGTCACCTTACCTATTTCTGCCACCAAGCAGTAATGTCAGAATTACTGTCTTCCAGTTTTGAAGGGTAAGTCAGGGTGCTGGTGAAATTATCGGCACATGCAACTTGTCAACTTGCCTCAAGGAGACGGGCGCATTGGCAGTGCCCCGCAGATCTTTACGATTTAAAGCTCTGAGTGCCACTGCAACTGCTATGGACAGGCGTGTAGCTTACTATAAGGACGACTTGTTCGTCCCGTCACTTGATATTATTTTAAAAAATCCAGGTTACCACATTACTGTAATGTCATCGGATTACCGTAGCACATAAAATTTCAATTCAACTAAATTGGACCAATGAAAATAAAATAAATATTAATTTTATGATTAAGAACTGTAAAAGGGCCTGATGATCATGAAACAGCTGAACCGATGATCATCGAAGGTAAGCTAAGAACCATCCCGATTAAATTAGCCTTCAAATCATAAAATCAGTCCATCTGTTTGGGAGCTACGACGCTACAATCAGTCATATAAAGGGACTTACAAGACAGAAAGGTTTCAAACTTATAATTCAAAAAAGTTTAAACTCGTTTTTGCAAAATCAGAGTTTTTACTTCGATGTGCGACTTCTTAGTCTTATTTAATTACTTCTATATATAATCATCAGCTCAGATTTATTAATTATACTTTATATACTTCATTTTGTAGTTTGACTATATATTCATCACCCTCACTCGTACTCTCTGTCTCTGTTTTTAAAATCACCAGCGCTTTTATTGTCACAATTAATACAAAAAAGATAAACTAACCTGCACAAGTAACGTTACAGTCCTTTCCTGGTTGTGTAGTATTACTGCACCAATATTTATCGTTGATCTGGAAGAGGCCATAGTCCCGGGAACCATTCTTATTTACCTTGCCTAACATATCAGTGCAGCGAGAACTCTCTTTTTCTACCAAGCACACCCCTATAAGAAAAATGTAATACAATATTTATTTTATTGAATATTATGATTATTTTACTACTATGATATTCATAAATATTTTTTTGTGAAAATACACCAATAGTTAAATCGATACAAAAATCGAACAACACAAACAAAAACTCCTTCGATCTGGCTGGATTCGAAATCTTAGTCTGTTGTCACACTTTTTCTTTTAAATAAATATACTTGTTCTTGACCATTACTCAGCCATGGAGCAAGGATTGGATCTATGGTGGAACGAGTTCACCCAGCAGATGTCATTCAGCTGCACCTTAAAGATATTCGGGTTGTATGTGTCGTATAAAGTCGCTGGTAGATAATTCCGTTCCTAGGCTGTGCGCATAATAACAGCTGCCAAAAAGCGCTTAGTACGCCTGACGGAAATATCGACCAGGTAGACCGGTAAAACTGGTGGCAATACAAGCTGGTTAGATATTAGATATATGGATAGTCAGATCATTTTCATCATTTTCATTTGATCAGAGGATTTTTTTTTGTGTTGTTCGATCTTTGCATCAATAATAAAAAATATAATTCGTTAAAAGGATAGGTACGAGCGCTCCATGCAAACAAAATTTTGTTTTGTTTTATTTGTTTTGTTTTTTATTTGGTTCACAACTTGAAACTTACATAATACATACATACACATAACAAGCTATTTCAATATACAATACCTTCTGTAGTTCCTAATAATAGTGAACACAACATGCATGACCAACGTTCAAAATTAAAAAATATGAATATAACTACATAAAAAATTGAATTACAAATGAAAAAATTCACAACTCATGAAATGCTTTGCACACATTATTCCTTGCTGAGGCAAGAGAACCCAAAAATATATCAAATTTTAGCCCGATCCCGTTGTATACGATAGTGATCTATATAAAGGGGAATGTTGGCCGACATTTGTTCTACAGAGCGGCAGATTGAAAGTTTTTCAATTTGACAGTCGACTACCTGGACGTGGTACTTCCCATTTGACGCAAGACAGATCTTCTGGGATATCAACATGGCCATGGATCAGCTTAAGTAAAGAATCTGATGCCTTACATCGAAAACGTAATGATCTCATTTTGTAAAAGCTCAGTCTACTTTCATACCACTGCAAAGTTTTGCACTTGTTATTGACGTAGGATAGTTGATACAAGAATATTTTTTGTATTCTCTCTATTCTATTGGAGTGCACCATGTAACCCGGAGACCATACACAACTATTGCATTCCAAAACGCTTCTGAAAAATGCCTGGGTCCCGGAAAGATTTTATTTGCCTAGATATAAAACCAGACAGCTGTGAAGACTTACTGGTTATTTTATTGATATGATCCCTGAAACTCAAAGATCTATCCACTGTCACTCCCAAGTCTCTGATTGTATTTACTTCCACAAGTGGAATATTTTTAAGGAAGTTTGAAGCAGACAGTGGTTTTCTCCTTTTGATGAGTTTCATATGAAAACATTTGTCTGTATTTAATGTCATTTTGTTCCGAGAACACCATATGTCTATATTATTGAGCTCTTTTTTTAGAATATCTAAGTCAGAGTAATTTTAAAACCGTTTATATACCTTTAAATCGTCTGCATACATTTTGAAATCACATCTTAAAGTCTGGGCCAAATCATTGATAAAGATCAAGAAAAAGAGTGGGCCCAAGTGGGATCCCTAGGGAACGCCTGATGTTATGAACTTGGGTTGAAATGTATCCTTACATGTGTTCTCACAAGCTATGTACAATTCTCGAGGTATGATTCGCACCACCAGTACAGAGACCCATGTATACCCATCTCTGAAATCCTCTGTAAAAGCAATTTATGATCGATTATGTCGAACGCCTTGCTTGAAATCCGTGTATACGACATGTGCTTCATCACCATTATCAATGGCATTTGATACGTCACTTTTATATCCCATTAAGTTTGTAGTGGTTGATTTCTTAGACAAGAAACCATGCTGTTCAGGATGAAGTTTTTGTTTGATATGCCAGTACATTTTTTGTCGCACTATAGATTCCAAGACCTTGCCTAAAGCCGGCAGTATAGACACCGGTCTATAATTGGAAACAATGTTTGCATCACCACTTTTATGTATGGGAGTTAAGCGTGCCGCTTTCCACAGTGCTGGAAATATACCATTCCGAAGGGATTTGTTGCACAACATTTGCAAAGGTACCGCAAGATTCTCTGTGCACAATTGAAGAAATATATTTGGTATACCATCCAGATCAGCACTCTTACTTGTATCTAATTTTTTCAAGACTGTCATAGTTTCCGATACCGTCAAGCTTACTATGCCCAGAGTGGACGACCAATCCCTAGTTGTTAATTCGTTTTGAGAGCCCTTGGCCATCATAATATGTCTACATTTTAACTGACAAACAGACTGGAAATAATCAGAGAATAATAATTACTAATCTGTTGTCCACCACTAACTATCTTGTCACCCAACATGATTTCATTTGGTACAAAGCCACTATTACGTTTTAAAATGTTCACGTACGACCATATAGGATTTCTAAGCATAGTATTAGCCGCATGTTTCTTAAACTTTCTATAGCATTCTTTCAACATTCTGTCAGTTCTACTTCTGAGAATCTCCACTGTCTCTTCGTCTCGCGGGTTACCGTACACCTTGTAACTCTTATTGTATTTAAGTTTTTCCTTTGCACATTTTACCGGAGAAGAGCTATACCAAGCGGAATAGCGTTCCCTGTTTGATTTTCTTAGCGGTGTGTTTTTCTTTTTCAATTATAGGCATAATAGTAGAACAAAAATCTTTGACCATGCAATCAACGCTAACACTTCTATCCCATATAGTCTCCCATTGCAATTTCGAAAGTTACCTATCGATTATTGCATACTTTGCTTTATTAAAATTCAACTCAGGATCTCTAACGCGTTTTAAAAATTTTGCATTTTTAGGTACTTTAAAAGTAATAATCACTAATGCTGGGTGATGTAAATCCAAGTTTGACAGAGGATGCGGGCAGGTGTCAACTTTAACTACTTTACGACTATCAGTGAGCACTAAATCGAGTACACGGTTATTTTGATTTTGTATAGAATTACATTGGTTTAAATTATTTAATATTATTCCATTCATAAAAGTATTATCTACATTATTATTAGTTATGTTGGATGGCGTACATGAAGACCAATTTGTATCAAAGTTCCAGCCCATAATTGTCATATTGAAATCGCCAAGTATGATCGTAGGTGGCTGCTTTATTCTATTACATATTATTTTAGTGATATTTGTAATGAAAACATCTAAATATTCCTGATTTAATATAAAGAATAAAATTCTGGATATCAACTAATTAAATGAATGGTTCATGGATAAACTTCATATTCGATTAAGTTTTATAAATCACAGGTCCTTGCAAAAGAAGTCTGTTTTCTATCTACGATGCTTCAAGAAACCAATAAAACTAAAAAGCACCCCAATTTGAACAAAGAAGAGGGTTTCTCCACACCAGAAGTTCGGGTCCCAGTATTTCCTCTGACAAACAATCTCAAGCAGACAGAAGACTATATAGCTCATTAATATATTTAATTTAAATTTTCTAATTTCCTTTTAATTCATACATTTTATTTAGTAAAAAATGCATATACTTAAAATATTTTGTAAATCCTATGTAGCGCAAAATTGTAATATGTTTTTTGGTAAATTAAAGTAAGGTAGCCAATTTAATAAATTGTTATTGTAGTTCAGATTAGGTTAGTTTTTATTAATATTAGAAATAACTGATTTAGAAGTCATCAACCAGTAAAGAGGACCTGTGAAGAACCTGAAAGGAGCCCGAAATGTTGGTTTTGTATGAATAAATAAATACACGCTCATTATTTCCAACTAATCAAATTCAATGTTGAATGTTTAGTTGTACGTCGTATTGTTTGCACTCTTACTTAGGTCTATATTTAGGTAGGTATCTATATTTAATGTAAGCGAGTTCAGTTTGCCCGATAATAAAAAGTCTCGACCTGGTTTTTTTATGATTACGATTGCATGTTCTTCGTTTTGACAATGAACTATATTTTTTACGATTAATTCCTCATACGATGATAAAAAAAACTTATACCTAAGTATAAACAGTATGTTGTACGGAACGTCATAGCCGTCAATAGTAATAACGAGGTTTTATCATTTTCCCGTTAAATTATATTGTTTTTTCAAAATTACACAGGCTCAAACTCAAACTCAACTTATCCATGTACAAACTCAACTTGTTGTATTTGTATATCTGTTCTGTGTATTTGTGTATGTTTGGTATTATGCAATTTAAATTTCTTATTAATTACACAAATTGATTTTTTTTTTGCGTAATAGTTGTTTGTGTCAAATTTTATTAATTTGGTGCCTAAGGCTCAACTCACACTGGCGCAGAGTCGAAGCGTCGCGACGCGTCATGTTTTTCGATTATAGCATATTCATCTCTATTTTCCCATTATTAAAGTACAAATTTGTGTCATGCAAATATGGAGTCAAGTTACTTGAGCGCAGTGAGGCGTCAGGCGCCGACCACACTGTGATCCGGGCGCACTAATGCGAGCATCGTCTCGCGTCGCCAGGCGTTGTACTTGAAAACAGGACGCGACGCGACGGTTCGACTCTGCGCCAGTGTGTGTTGACCCTTATTGTCTACAATTATTTGAATTTTGGTGTTCCAAATTGTGACGGGCCGTGACAGAATAAAGGGCTATGCAATTAGCAGTCTTTAGATGTCATGGACCCTTATGTTTTTGAGTTTTGACATGTTTTTTTTATTTTAACTTGAATTTATTTTTATTCATTTATTCTTATTTAGATAGATAGATAGATAACACGTTTATTCAGCACAAATACAAACAGAAACAAAACATTTACAATCACTTCACAGAGTATAACATAAAAGCACATAGAACATTCATTATTAATTTTATACACATTTATACAAAACACATATTGCAAGACAAAACAAATACTGTGAAAAAAACAAACAAATACTATAACAACTGATAAAATTTTATTTTATTATTTTTCTTCTTTGTTTAACGTTTCAAAGTATGTATTTTATATTATAATCGTCGTCATGGGCTTTCAAAACGAAATGCAAGCTTTGGCTACTTTCGAGGCAGTATTCGGCAAGTAATTGGATGTAATTTGGTGTAACTTCATCGCACGCCATTTTAAGCCACATTTTTCATTATTTTTATATTTTTAACATTTTGTGCTTTTTTTATTTTTTTTATCTAGACATATATATATTTTATGTTCACTGTTCGTCCCTATCCAAATTACAAATCGAATTGTTCAAGTGTTCAAGTGTTCAAATATTTATAATTTTTAATTTTAATTTTTATTTTTATTAAGTAGCATAGGTATCATGATGTTTGTTGTGATGGCTGTTTTTTTGCTTTTTTTGTTTTTTTTTTGTGGAGCCGGTCGAGATGCGTCAATAAGATATATATTTAAATGTAGCAAGTTTCTTTCAAAGGGGTAGAGTCTGAAAAACAGCTCAAGCTGAGACTCTTACCTTTTTATCTACACATTGTGTTATTTTAAGATAATTTTGTATATTATTATTTCAATTGTAGATAAATAAAGTTCTTTATTATTATTATTATTATTAATATTTCAGACATCAAATAATCAAATGAACATGTCTTGGATAAACTTCATATTCGATTACGTTTAGTATACTTAAAATAAGTCCTTGCAAAAAAATATAATTAAACAATTACACTCATAAAAATAATTTTCTTACGTTGAAAAATAATATATACAAATTTAACATTCAACATTGAAAGATTTGTCACAGATGTCGCTACGGCAAAAAAGCCGTTAAAACCAAAAACTAAACAGACCTGCAGGAAGCATATAGAGAAATTAGTAAGGTCTGCTGACTCGTTCCGTAGCTAAATTTCGAGAGCGATAGCGAGAGCCGCGGTTTGACGAAAGTGTTGTCAGTTCGAGACCAGCCGGATTTTTGTTAGTGTTTGTTTTAAAGTATTTTCACAAACAGTGAATGACATTGCCTAAGTTTCTTTTATGTTATGTAGGCAGCAAACAAGCATGTGGCCCGCCTGATGGAAAGCGATCACCGTCACCTGTGAACGCCTGCAACATTAGGCGCGTTACGAGAGCGTTGCAATCCTCCAGGACTCCATGCTGTATTCTTGCGGGAAAACCTCAACAGAGAGATCATTCCACAACCTAATTGTTTGTGAGAAAAAAGCTCCTTTGATACCGTACCATACGGGATCAGCTCGGCTCCATGAATGAATGGGGACTGTCGGTGGCGAGCGGTGCGATGATAAAATGTTGCTGTTGGCATTGCGTCAAACAGTTCTTCAGAACATTCTTCTTCAGAACAGGCTACATCAATAATTTCGGCATATTTTGATCATGAACAATATATTTAAATGAAGGCTGCATAGAAATTTTTCATCAGTTACTTGTCAAATAACTTTATATCATATTAAAGACGATGAGTACATTACATACTTCATCATCTATGATAATGTAGGTATGCAACCTATCTTGGTATCACTTGGAAACTTATCGGTTAACGGTAAAACCCGAAGACGTTGCGGTTAGAGCTCTAGTTCTACAGGTGTTTTGTAAAAAAATATATAGATTGATTATATAAGATGGTTAGCATATACTCACAATCTCTCATTTTTTCTTCAGGAAACTCGTGATCCCTTAATGCTTCGACGAGTTCACATCGTGTCAGCTGATGTTTCGCTGATTCTACGCAGGCTATCAAAGCCAACGCTACAAATAACCACTTTTCCATTTCAAAATACAAATTTACTTTTAACTACTCTCTAGTCGGCGACTTCCCCGAAGACCAAGATAAATGTGCTAAAAACAAGTTCACTCTTGTTTATATATATTTTTACCCGTCAAATCTGCTTTGCATCATGTGTGTGTTTCCCACTTTGCCGGTGGTAGTACTACGGTGACAACGTCTTATTAAATAAATCGAATCGATCGAGGGAGCGTGCGATGGAATTCCTTCCACTTTCAACACCTTCCGCTTACTTACCTACTTACTTACCGGGGGACTAGACGTAGGCTTTCAACCCCTATGTTGTTGTTCCACATTTATATGGTGTACAGCTATGGAAAGACTGTACCTGTAGACTCATTCCCTGAACGTTATAACATGGGTCATCTCAAGGCGAAAATTTAGAGGGAATGTATATGTGGATAATAATTTATGTGTGGATACGCTATTGTCGACCTCATCGTCACCTTCCATCAGGTGAGATGGAGGTCAAATGCGCTCATATATTATTTGATAAAAAGGGGGAAATGAAACTATTTTTTCGGATCTAAATGACATATATTTGCTTTTTGAAACAAACTTACGTTATGGGCCCTTTACAGGTCATCACATCTTACTGATATGGTAATGTCTAATATTAATGAAACCATCCAATTTAATAACCTAAGTTAGAAGTTTATTTCGTATTAAACATTACTTTGGCGTTGATCTCTGCAACAACCAATATAAATTGAACTGCTAATTTACAAGTATACTCCTAAAAAGGTTATTATGTTCATACTTCATTTTTCCGACCGAACAAAACCTCATTATAAAAGAAAAATAAATAATTGTTTATATTCTTTAACAGTTTAGTTTACAATCATAGTAATAAGGGTTTACTTTTAAGCATAGTAAACTCCGCTCTTCTACAACCATTGCTTTATATTGTGTGTCATCATCCCATTTGTAGTAGGTCTGCTTTCAGGCGAGGGTTTAGGCCATAGGCCACCACTCTGGGCCAATGTGGGTTTCCGAGTGTTGTGAACCTTCTTCGACATGCAGGTTTCATCACGATGTTCACCGAAAAGCTCATGGTAAATTTGAAATTAAATTTCGCACATAAACTCCGTAAATATCAGAGTCATGTTATTAGGCTACCACGGCTTTATAATATACAAACTAAATCTAGTCGCAGTAAACTATTTCAATATTTGAACATTATAAATAAGGCAAATACGTTGTTTGCATTTATGTATGGAGTTTAAAATAACGAGTTTCATATATTTGATATTCTATTTTATGTGCATATTACGGATATTATTCCATGGTATGGAAGAAATGGTTAATTATTGTATAAATGTATGTGAATTTTTGTATGAATAAGTATATCCTATTAAATAGTTAAATGTGTGCCATACTACACACTCGTCATCAAGGAGACAGGGAGTTCCCGTAGATTACAATAAATGTTTCTTTCCTTCATATAACATTGATTCTTATTGTCATTATTTTGTGTTTCAATTTGTATTTGTAATAGCCGATTATGGAGGTCAATATGCTTTTATTTGCACACATAAACACCTATTTATAAACGAGTTACAGTTGCCCGATAGTAAAAAAGTCCCGACTTGGTTCTTTCCTGTTGACGATGCTACTTCCTCGTATTGACAAAAAAAGTTATACAAAACGTAGAATTAAAATATTTACGACTTGGTTCCCCGTGCGTTATGCCTATAAAAATATGTAATGCATATATGTATGTAATTTTTTAATTTTTTATAATGGGGCGAACAAGTTGTGCGCCTGATGGTAACAGTTACAGTGCCACTCAGTGCTTTAAATCGCAAAGATTTGTGGGACACTGCCACTGGGCGCGTTACCATGAGACATAATTTGACAAGTCCCAAGGTACACGCCTGTAATTTCACCAGCACCCCTTACCCTTCAAAACCGGAACACAGTATAGGTCACATTACTGGTTAGCGGCAGAAATAGTTGAGGTGGCAGTATTTCCTTGTTCGAACTCTTTCACAAGGAGCGCTACTGCTACTGATTGTTTTATTCGTAAATATTGTAATAACAATAATGTGCCGGACAACCACACCAATTGCCTGCTCTCAAAGTAAGGAATTCCTTTATGAGTACCAGAGCAATGGAATATTCCACAAGTGTTTGTATTATGCGCAGAAAAGGATAAATGATGCATAGAGTAAACATTTTGGTGTTAAAATATTCATGTATGAACTTTAGAAGTGCAAAATAAAACATTACATAACAAGAATAATTTAATGTGGCGTAAGCTAGACGTTACAGTGTCAAATACACCAGATTGCCGCCCTACGTTGAAAGGGCGTTCGTGACGAAAATTCCGAGAAAATAATGTTTAAAGAAATTAAATTAAACAAATACCTACTTCTTTTTTGCCGTAACTTCATATATTATCCACTTAGGAAAAAATAAAAATGGTGATATGCATGTGATGCAGTGATGCACATGCATTTCGACTAAAGCTTACGGCGGCAGGAAGTTTTTGTTGTGAAACTCATTTGCTGTTAAAGAAAAGATCGCAATGCGGTCACATTGTGATTGAAGTGTGTTAAAAGGATAAAAAGGCACAAAATAAACACAAAATTATGGTAGTCGGGGTTTCATGAATTTTTTTGTATAATTTAACTTATTTCTAACATTGGGAGATGTCTGGCAAAGGCTTGTTCTTACAATTATAGATCCAACCGTACCACGCGTTGAAGCTTTGACGACTGAATATTTTCTTCGCACACTGAGCTGATTTTGTTATGTCATTTGTCAGCAAATCTGGAGAAGAAAGACAATGCAAATTGGATTTTAGTGAATCGTACGGTATTGGGTTATATTATATGACAGACACTTAATAAACATTATATCTACGTAAATGTAGAATCATTACAAAACTAATGAATTGAAGAATGTAACATAATTACTGTTTCTCTTCTTTTTCTTCATTCGCCATATACCGAACTATCACTGTTTCCGTGGCCGAGTGGGTACCATGCTGGTCCACCGCGCAAAGGTCTCGAGTTCGATTCTTGAGTCGGGAGAAATATTTGTGTGGCCTACATTTATCTCTCTCGTGAGTTTGGGAGTCATTTGTGGTTGTCTACGTGTTTGTGTCTCATATAGAGTTTTTCTAGTGCGGGGTTATGAGTGTATCCATTACTATTATTATTTATTTTATACTGGCACTACCTGGGTACTTAATGGCCTACTCGCTGAGGTATACCACATCCTCTGTGATGTTGTCATCGAGATGAAAGAAATCCTTGTGATTTATAATGTATGCCATCGATACGATAAGAAGAGGTAGGGTATTTAATTAATTTGATCAAGTAACTCTAAAATACTTATCTTATTTATCACTTTAAAAATCTTAGTTCTGTAACTGTTAATACTTTATTTATGAATAAGGTAGTAGTTTCACACTGTTTTATTAAACAACTTCAAAAAAAGGAGGAAGTTCTCAATTCGTCTGTATTTTTTTCAATTCAATTCAATTCATTTATTCATTCGTTATTACAGGTACATGATATAGATGGTAATAATAATTTTATGGAATCTCTACAATAAGCCAAAGTGGCATACGAAGTCAATTAAATAAAAATGTAATGTCAAAATAAAAATAAAGGAAAAATGGATACAATGTCAAAAAACTAATAATAATTGAAGAGTCTAAAAATATTAATAACTAAATGGTACCCAACTGTCAGCATTTACCTATTTTAAGGAACTGTCATTGAAATATTCTTCTATGCTATAGTAACACTTGTCAATTAATAATTGTTTTAATACATTTACAACATGCTTGAATTGCATTCCACTAAGATTTTATATTGCGTCTGGAATTTTATTAAATATTTTGGGTGCCATATCAACAACGTTATTTTTGTATAGGGCCGTTTTACATATATTTCTTCGGACCATATATTTCCTGATACGAAATAAGTGCGCTTGTGAACTTACTTTTTCTGGAAATTCACTCAAGTTCGTCTTAACAAAAATAGATGCCTCAAAGACGTACAGACATGGGAAGGTTAATAATTTTAGGTCACGGAAAAATGATCGGCAACTGTCAGTGTATTTAATGTTGCATATGGCTCTGACACATCGCTTTTGGGCTCTAGATATAGTTTCTCTGTAGGTAGAGTTACCCCAGAAAACACACCATACCTAAGGATAGATCCAACAAAGCCGTGGTAAGCCATTACCACAGTTCGGCGGTCTGCAGTTTTCGACAATTTGTAGAGTGCATAGCTAAGCGTGTATAGTTTTGCACAGACCTGTTGCGCGTGAGTAACTTTTAGGTCAGGTAGAGTCATTCTCTGATTAAAAAACATAATTTTAGTTTTATTTGTGTTGACTTTTAGGTTGTTTTTATTATATCTGTGCACCGATTTTAATGATTCTTTTTGTTGGGAACAGGGTACCTCATTATGGGTCCCATTTAAATTTGAAGGAAATATTCCTCTATATATACCTAATATACCTCTAATGGTGGCAAACTAGGGCATGACTCCGGTTTTGCGGACTTTCCGGTAACCGATTTCAATAAAACATGGCAAATAGATGTAATTCCACGAACTTTTGAGGTCGGTTTATAATTAAAGTTGTGAAGGTAAACGTTTCAATATTTAACTAACCTGCACAGGTAACATTACAGTCCTTCCCCGGTTGGGTAGTATTGCTGCACCAATATCTGTCATTGATTTGAAAGAGGCCGTAGTCCCGAGAACCATCCGAATTTAATTTGCCTACGATGTCAGTGTAGCGGGAGCTCTCGTGTTCTACCAGGCACACCCCTAAAATATAAAAATATATATATATTGAATATAAAACTATGTTTTTCGCTTATATATTTTTTTTTAAATAAACTGAAAACATATAACAGTTTCAAGTCCATTGGTGATCCGATTTTGATGATGGTTTTTTTGTTGGAAAGAGGGTACCCTAGCAGTGATTTCATTTCAATTTGAAGAAAATATGCCGCCTCTAAGTATGGCAAACTAGTGGATGAATCCGGTTTCGCGCACTTTCCAGTAATCGATTGCAATACATAGATGTAATTCCAGAACTTTTGAGTCTGTTTTTTTTAGTACTGACGTACTGATGTTTACAAAAACAATTGCTGTAATAATAATAATAATAATAATAATAATATTTTTTTATTCAAGTAAGCCTGACTCACAAGCACTTTCGAATTGTCAAAATTTACAAAGAATAAATAAAAATACACATGTCAAATAAATTAAAAAAAAAACACTAATAATTCATACAAAATTGTAAAGTACAATAAAACAATATAACATTAACTCCACGCATTTTTGTCATTTATGTAATCATCAACTGTATAGTACCCTTTCGTCAGAAGTTTATTTTTAACATATGTCTTAAACTTGTAAAACGGCAAACATGAAATGTCGGTCGGTATTTTATTGAAATATATAATTCCTTGTCCCATAAAAGAATTACGAACTTTTTGCAATCGGAATTGTGGTATGATTAATTTATCTTTATTTCTAGTATTACATTTGTGTATATCGCTGTGTTTCTGAAATACAGGAATATTTTGATGGACGTATAAAATACAATTTAAAATGAACTGTGATGCTACTGTTAGAATATTAATTTCTTTAAACATGTTTTTAAGGGAGACCCTGTTTCCCAGTTTATAAATGGATCTTATAGCTCTCTTCTGCAAAACAAAAATAGTCGCAATATCAGTTGCTTTCCCCCACAGTAGAATTCCATATGACATTATGCTGTGGAAGTAGCTGTAATAAACTAGCCTAGCCGTTTCTTGATCTGTAAGTTCTCTAATTTTTCTTACCGCAAATGCAGCTGAACTGAGTCTCGCTGCTAGGGCTGTAATATGCGGATTCCATTGTAATTTTGAATCTACAGTGATACCTAGGAAGACTGTAGATTCAACAAATTCCAGCAGATCGTTGTTTAACATTATTCCACTGTTAGAACATTTAACATTTGGAAGTGTGAATTTTATACATTTGGTTTTTCTGGCATTAAGTTGTAAATTGTTCACAGTAAACCAATAAAGTACCTCTGCAAGAGCCTTATTTACATCGTCAAAATTATTTTTTGTTCGGGGACTTTTAAAAATTAAGGAAGTGTCATCTGCAAATAAGACTATTTCACATCGGTTTTCTACAAAGAATGGTAAGTCGTTTACATAAACCAAAAATAAAAAGGGGCCCAATATTGACCCTTGTGGTACCCCCATTTGTACAAAAGATCCAGGTGATGTGATTCCATTAACACTAACTCTTTGAATTCTGCAACCAAGATACGACCGAATCAATTTTTAAAAATCATTATCACGGATACCATAGTGTTTGAGCTTCAACAAAAGAGTATTATATTCAACACAGTCAAAAGCTTTTGAAAGGTCGCAAAAAACACCAATGGCATTCTGCGACCCCTCCCAAGCATTATAGACATATTTTAATAATGCAATACCAGCATCTGTGGTAGATCGGCCCTTAGTAAAACCATATTGTTCTTTATGAAGGAGGCTGTATTTCGCGAAATGTGCCATAAGCTGATCAAGAACAATTTTTTCAAATATCTTACTAAGTGCTGGCAGAACAGAGACGGGCCGATAATTATTGGGATCATCTTTGCTACCCGATTTAAATAGTGGCAAAATTTTACTATGTTTCATAAGATCAGGAAATATACCGTTGTTAACACAGCTATTAAATACATCTACTAATACTGGAGCTATAATATCTATAATATGCCTAATAATATTAACTGAAATATCCCACAAATCACAAGTATTTTTCATTTTTAGAGATTTAAATGTTTTTATTATATCTGCACAAGTAACATTTTTAAAGCTAAATTGTTCTTCACACATGGGTATATATTTTTTAAGTAGCTCTTCAGATTTTTGTGAAGAAGCGTTAAGTGATTTCGTAGTCATAATAGGTATATCTGTAAAATAGTGTTCAAACGCCTGGGCCACTTTTTCATCAGATGTCAGAATATTATCACATATCTTTAATGCAAAATGAGTGTCTCGTGGTTTTATTTTTCCTGTTTCTCTGTTTATGCAATTCCATGTCGCTTTAATTTTATTATCAGACATTTTAATTTTTTTAGTAATGTACAGGGATTTGGCATATACGCACAATTTTCTGAAAATCTTTGAATATTTCTTTACATATTCCACGAATTTATTATTATTGTTATACTTTTTTTCTTCATATAACTCGTATAACTTGATTCTGCTTCTATGTAATCCATAGAATGCTGTGAATCTGATACATACAGTTGTAGAATAAATTATTGTATTAACAACATCAATCCATTTACATTTCCCACTGCTGGGCACGGGTCTCCTCTCCGACGAGGGTTTAGGCCATAGTCGACCACGCAAGCCCAATGCGGGTTGAGGAGTTTGTGAACCTACTTCGTCGTTCAGGTTTCATCACGATTTTCCTTCATCGAAAGTCCCACGATAAATTTCAATTTAATTTTTTACATAAATTCCGAAAAACTCGGAGATGCGAGTCCGGAACCGAAACATTAAGCTACCACGGTCAACCCATTAGGCTACCACGGCTTTTATGAAATTTGAATGGCTTGAAATTAATTAAAGAATAAAAACTGAGGACTCACAATCCCTCAATTGTGCAGCTGGAAAGCTATTCTTCCTTAATTCGCTAACCAGTTGACATCTTGTCAACTGATGTGAAGCTGATTCGACACAGGCTACCAAAGCCAACGCTACGAATATCCACTTTTGCATTTTTATATCAATATGTTCAAACAGCGCTTCAGTCAACTATTTCACTGATATTCCAATCAAGTGTGCGGGAAAAAGGGACTTAGAATTGCTTATATACAGTATTTTGCCACTTTTGTTCCACTTTTCCTTAATCTCTCATCATTGATATCGTATAATGATCTACAGAGCAGGTCACTGTTGTTTTTATTTGCACACTTTACACTTTGTACGATAATAACACCGACCCGGTGTGTTGGTAAGGCCTATTTAGATGAAGAGAGTTACTATCGCAGGCAATAATCGCTATAACTTTTCGCCTTATTATTTCGCCTACGATTGTGTCATACGAGACTTTCGAGTAACTTATTGCCTATTGCGACTGCTTTTTTGCTGCTACACAGTGAAACTTATTAGTTGCCTTACGAGTTTTCGACTCGTATAAACACGTTCTTGTATGACATTTTTTCAAATACATACGAGTATCGCTTAAATCGGTTTGAATAGTTTTAATTGCGATATTTGCCATTTATACTAGGTTATTTATAATATGAGACATTTATACTCGAGGCGATAATTGCGAATGTGTATGCATGGGCCACCATCCGGCTCGAAGGACCAAATGTGTAAAAACCGTATAACGCACATAATTTTTTTTTTATATGTTATTTCGATAATCTTATCATCGAGACTAGTAACACTCTCCGTGTAAATGGGCTTTTACGCGTGACTATCACAGGTAAATACGCAGGTAGATTCGGAATATTAAGAAAATAAACACTCATAAAAATAATATTTCCGCTTTGCCTAAATTTGAAGTCACACTTTGTTGAGTCACATTTTCTTTTGTTTACGCTGCACCATATAAATTAAATATAGAAAAGGATAAAAGGAAATAAAGTTGAGGAAATACATTTCCATATTTTATCTTGTAATGTTAAACTATTAACGATGTTTGAAGGTGGCTTATTCTTATTTAATATTTGTAGCCCCAAGTGCCACGCATCGAAGTTACAATCCTTGAAGATTTTCTCAGTTTCATCATTTCATTCATCATCAGAAATTTCGTGGTCGAGTCAGTGAACTCTGTGCGCTTTGGTTTCGCCGATGATGTTTGGGTGGGTGACGAGCTCTTCTACTTCAGTGTTAGTGTGGACTCTCCAGGTGCCATTCTTCCGTTGGACTGACCCTAATATTTTCCTGAGAAATAAACTAACGAAAAGGCTGAAGGCTAAAAAGGAGAATGTATGTATGTTAATAGGTTCATATCCATAGTTGAAAGGTAAAAAAAATGTTCAAGATGTTTTAATATATATATATATATATATATATATATATTAACCGCTTAGCCAGATTTCAATCTATTAATTTAAAAATAAAAATTATAATGTTACCATAGCTTACCACAAAACCACTAAGCTCAATACAAAGTACAATAAAATGATAAGCGTCACTTGAATCAATTTGCTTCCTTTTTAGGCCAAGGTACAAGAAATTAAGAGCCAAAAGGTTTTTGCCGCTCGAGGGAAAAAGATTTCAGTATCTAATGATCAAATTTCAGATGTAAGAAAAAATGTACTGAATATCGTGGTATTTTTTTTGGAACAAGATAAACCGATTTATGAAATATTACTTTTAAGGCAAGGTTTAACAAGATTATATTTCAAAAGTAGATAAAGGCAGAAAGGTTAATTTGTACTTAATTAGATTTAGGTCGACGGAGCGCGATTTAAGCAAAGGTAAGTAGGAATTAAATATGTAACAATATTATGGTTAATGTTGGAGTAGATCATATGAATATACCTGTGATCTCAAAAATAAATTTTCTAGCTTTAATGTAAGAATCCGTGGAAAAGAATCTAAGCGACACAAAGTAAACAAGAAGAGAATAGAAACATTTACTTCATACTAGCTGGTACCCACGTTTTCATCTGCGCAGAATAAGTACCTACTTCGAGTAACCTACTACACTAATACTAATAGTACAGCCCACTGTACTATACTAATTTTTAAATAAAAAACCACAGTGAGACTCAGACATATCAAATAAAATAACGGATAACTCACGTATTTAAGTCGAATTTTTCCACAACATGTTTCGATCCTTTCGAGGTTCTTAATCACGAGATTCCGCAGCGGTGACTCGACGGCAAATTGAATAACAATTTCTTTGAAAGAAATTACTCTACGTTGTATAATTCATTATCCAATAAAAGGACAGTATTCAGTGTAAAACACTTTGCCGTACGTATATATATAAATACGTTTCAGACATGCAGGTATGGTTCGTAGAATTAGGGACCTATTACTCACGGGTATCTCGTTGAGAGTTCAGTGTTCCACCTTAGCCAGTGCATAGCCTGTACGTGTTTAAATTTTGACATACATATAACCGATTACATCGTAAATATATTATTAATAGGCCATCATTGCACGGTGTTTTTAAAAAGGTTTCTGCTGGACTGACTTTTTTGTGCATGCCTACTATAATGTTTAGTGCAACATTTTAACGAACAAATACCTTATTCGACTGAGTTGAGTTGTCCCACAATGCGATACCGTAGGGCATCAACAAACAGAATTATGCAAAGTAAGTCTACCTCAATACCGCATTGGAAACAAGAGGACACAGTTTTGTAGTGCGTATATAGATAGCATTTTGAAGTTTTTCGCATAGAGACTATATGATTTCAGTTTATATTTGAGTTTGTTGTGAAACCTAAGAATTTGCACATATTGCACAGTGATACCGCAAAGGTGATAATCGACAATATTGTGGAATTTCTTCCTAAGAACAACATTAGCTTTGACATTTTGTTTGTTTGTTTTGAAAAACACTTAAACTATCACGACAGGTATAACCTAATGCGATAGTAAAGCAACATTTATAATTAATAAACTCTAACAACTACCATTACAGATGTAATCCTAATACCATAGTGTAATTACCTAACTAGTTTCAAACATGTCAACAATAAACAAAAGCGTTTAGCGCACGCAGTATGAGCATGAGGGCTCATGAGGGTTGCATTGTGCAGCAGCGTCGCAAAACTTCGACGCATTTGGAACCAGCCCACTCGAAGAAAATCACACACACAGTGCTGCTTATACTGTATGTTTTTACTTCGTCCAACTCATTATAGTTTCAGCATACACGGCAACGGTTGTGTTATCTTCAAATAGAACCACTTAGCCCTCTGATATAAAGTGTACCAGATCATTACTGAACCCTGTGAATAATGTATGACCTGTATGACATAAGCCGATCAATGAGAAATTCCAGTGGACCTAATATTTTTACAGTTTTATATAGACTGAACCATTTTCTTTCTGTTTGATAAAAAAAATTGATAAATTGTGGGCGATGCCGGTGATATAATACATAGATAATTTTTATATCAATAAGTCATTCCCAATCATCATCACATCGATAGCCTTTGAGGGATTACATAAAATCTCTGCTGTTTTATACGTATTGCTATGGTGTATTTACCCTTTCTGTAAGTATATTGTGTACCGGATAACAAGTCGTTTGTTTCAAAATGTACCGTAATGTTTGTTGATTTAATGGATTCTGTTATTTTTGGAACTATGGTTGCCTAAGAGCGATGCCACAGGATGCGTTGCGTTGGCGTGACTTAGCGAGCGGTGACGCCAAGCTTGAGACTTAAGATTTAAATCCAACTCTATGCCGCTTACGATAAGAACGGTCCAAAGCACAAAGTGTCAAGCTTGACGTGCTCTTGACTGTACTACATACAAATTAGAAGTACATGCCACATGGTGCCTTGAAAGGACGCGCGGTGACGGAATGTTTGCACATTGGACAAGGTGCCAGGAGACGAAGAGGTTATATTAGTTAGAGGTTAGTTATTTAAAAAACCCGACTGTAAAAATATTTAGCTGGAAAGAAAAAAAAAATTATCCCCCAGCACTATTTTGATTAATTTTTATAGTCTATACTCCCACAATCCAGACGAATCTAACGACATCTCAAACGTCGAAATCCATCAAGCCGTTTAGGTTGTACAGCGTGAAAAAGAAATGTATATACATACATACACTTGAAAAACATTTGAAAGCCCCTCCCGCAGTCGGGTAAAACAATTATAAACAAATAAAAATACAAATAAAGCAACGACTATGTCCCCGATTATTGGCCAGAAAGACATTAATATGCTTTTTAACCAACTTTAAAACGGAGGAGGTTCTCAATTCTACTTTTTTTGTATGTATGTTACGCGATAATAATTTGTGAGCCGGTTTTGATGATTCTTTTTTGTTGGAAAGGGGGTACCTCCGATGTGGTCCCAGTTAAATTTGAAGAAAGTATTCCACCTCTAAAGGCTGGCAAACTAGACGGTGAATGACTTTTGAGGCCGGTTTTTGAGATATCGTATATGTCCAGCGGTTTTGATTCATCTAACGTTCTCCTCATCACTCTTTCCAACGAATCACAAGTGACAGTTGGTAGGTTGAACTGGGGAACATCGCATTCATCTATACACTTTCTTAGGAATGACATTGATTAATCTTTGTTACTTTCTAAATATACTTATAAAGTGTCAAATGAAGCAAGGAAAAAATCTTAACCACAATAAACGGCATTGTATTCCGTATAAAAGATTGAAGTGACAATTTCAAGACACTCAGTGCGAAGTATTATTTAGGTATTGTATATATATATATATATATATATATATATATATATATCATAACATAGATGGCGCTACGATTAAAAAAGTCGTTGAAAAACCAAATACAAAGACACGACAACAAGCACATAGATAAATTCGTGAGGTCCGCTGGTTCGTTCCGTGGCGTAGTTGGTATAGCGTCTGCCACGGTATGCTAGAAGACGTCGTTTCGAATCCGGCCAGATCGAAGGAATTTTTTCTGAGTGTTCGATCTTTGTATTAATAATTATAACAAACTAGTGGAGTAATTTCACAAAAAATAATTGAATATCAATTCAATAAAAATTTATATATACATACTTAGTTAAAATTTCGAAAAAAGAAAGTAATTGTCAGTTTCTTTGTAAAACAAATAAGGTAAAACAACATAAGTCCAAAAACACAGCGGAAGTTACAGATAAGACGTAGTTTCTTTAAAAAGTCACGCATGATTGATTTAAATTGAACAATACCACAAAAATTAAGCCAAACAGAAAATGCTCAGGTGTAGATAAAGTTGAGAAACGCACAAAAATCTTTTGATTCCAAATATATATTAAACTTGATAATTAAAATTAGTTTCATCTTGCAATCTAAAAGCTTCAAACGATTTTGAAAAACTAAGCATCGACAATGTCAAAGTCAAAGTCAAAGATTATTTATTCCATAGGTAAAATAAATGTACACTTGAAAATGTCACAGTTAAGCTACTGCTCGTTCACTACGCTGACCTCACTGAGAAGAACGAGCAAGAAACTCTAGGGATTGCTCTTTTCAAATAAACTTAAATGCTATGGAATACACTTTGAATCAAATTTGTGTGGATTCTGGAGCCATGTTGTCTTTCCATACATCTTTATCTAACACGTAGTCTTCAACTTTGTAATATGATTTTTCGATCAAAATATTTTTAATGTAGTTTTTAAACTTAGGAATTGATAAACTTAATATATGCTCCGGAATCTTATTGTAAAAACGTATACAGTTCCCAATGAAAGAGTTGTTTACCTTGGTTAAACGAAATCGTGGTACCATGAGTTTGGACTTAGCTCTAAGGTTGTAATCGGTCTGCAGAGAAATTGATCTACCTTCTTGCTCATTTTACAATTAAAAGAAGCCAACTATTACATAATTTTCTATATTGTTAATTGTTTCGTAATCTTTCAGCCAGTCTTCTGTAACACAAAACACGTCAACGGAAATATCATGCAAAAAAAGACTTATTTCTAATGTTTCGCCAAAGCCTAGAATAAAGTAAAGCCTTGAATATTTTGATGTACTACATGGAAACGATTAGACTTTTCTGTTGTCGTGTTTTTTAGTTTAAATTATGGTTAGTAAAAAGTATATTGTTGCTACTTAAAGCATTGTCGTTGGACTGTGTTATATTTTCTATAACAGCGTCCTTAATATTAAAAGATAGCAAACTAGCTATATGTCTCAGATACCTTATGGGTAAAAGTAAATTATCCTCAAAAAGTTTGAAGTTCCTTGCGAACTTATTAATGTCAAAACAAAATATAACGTCACTATGACGGCAAGTCAAATTATGAATGTGCGAATTTATGTTATATATATACTTATTACGAGCGATGCCTAGGTTAGAGCAGTAAGGGAATGCACTTATTATTAATTTACACCCACACTACTCATGAATTCTCAAGAACACGTCAATGCTACTATTTAATTCTTTTTTACTAATGTTAGTACTATCACCTATTATAAGAATCACTGTTGTATATTTATCAAAGATGCAACCACTTAACAGTGTAATAATTTGACTAAAAGTAACTCCTGGATAGCAATAGTTGACTACCCTTTGTTTTGAGTGGTTACTTAGGTGGTGGCCTAGTCCTACGCCTATTTTATCAGAAAAAACTACCGTTCTTCTGGATGGCCTGGTAGGAGTTCTAATAGTCTTGGTTAACCGTTGACTGTGTCGAACTTCAACAGTTGTAGTGGAGCAGACACGTTTTCCTGCAGCAACGCTGGCATACGATGCACGTGTTGGTTAAATAAAATAAATAATAAATAACGCACACACTCAACATAGCCCCGCACTAGGGAAACCCTGTGTCGCGGGTGCCATGGACACACACATAGACAACCACAAATTACACCCAAACTCACGAGAGAAATAATTGTAGGCCATACAATTATTTCTCCCGGCCCGGGAATCGAACCTGGGACCTCTGCGTGGCAGTCCGGCATGATAACCGTTCGGCCACGGAGGCAGTTAAACAGGTTAAAAAGGTTGCGTTGATGATGTGGGTGGTGGGGACGCATATCATTATTATGAACCCTAGGAGTACCATAAGAAACCATAATGTCAGCAGAATTTTGATATGGCGGATTCTAGACGCCACTATGTTTAGTAGCAGTAGAGCTCCTTGTGAAAGAGTTCGTCCAGGGAAGTACTGCCACCTTACCTATTTCTACCGCCAAGCAGTAACGTCAACATTACTGTGTTCCGGTTTAGAAGGGTGCTGGTAAAAGTACAGGCACATGGGAATTGTCAACTTATGTCTCAGGGTGACAGGCGCTGTGGCAGTGCCCCTCAGATCTTTGCGGTTTAAAGCTCTGAGTGGCACTGCAACTGTTACGGACAGGCGTATAGTTTACCATGCGGCGCACGATTTCTTCGTCCCGTCTCGTTGATATCATTTAAAAAAAATAATAACCTCGTTAGATGTTTTATTATGAACCTCCAAACAAAAGATCGTGCATATTGTGATCAACCCGACATGTTAATGGGACAAAATAAATAAAAAAAATAATTAAGACAAGAAAAACCAGACCACTATCAAGTATAGATATGCTGGAGACAAAATGCTGTATTTCCAATCCTGTTGGAGTCTCTGACTCAGGCTTGGCATATGAAACTTGATAGTAGTCGGGATTGTTATAAATTTATTTTCAGTAATGTTTACATTTCTCTTATTTCTAACATTTTGAGATATCTGGCAAAGGCTTATTCTTACACTTATTAATCCAACCGTACCACGCGTTAAAGTTATGACGACTGTAGATTTTCTTTGCGCATTGAGCTGACTTTGTTATGTCTTTTGTCAGCAGAGCTGGAGAAGAAAAGAAACAATTTAATTAGATTTCAGTAAAATGACATTACCACATAGTAACGCACACACTCAACATAGCCCCGCACTAGGGAAACCCGGTGCCATGGACATAGACAACCATAAATTACACCGAATCTCACGAAAGAAATAAATGTAAGCCAATTCTCCCGACCCGGAAATCGAACCTGGGACCTCTGCGTGGCTGTCCGGGATAGTAACCTTTCGTCCACGGAGGCAGTTGGTAAGTTTTATTACTGTTAATAATTATAAATAGAAATCCATTTTATGTCTACGCTGTAAATATAAAACTATATTCTTTGACGACCTCTGTGGTCGAGCGGTTTGCACCGGTTTTCATGGCCATCTCTGAGGTCCCGGGTTCGATCCCCAGACGGGTTAATATAGAATAGAAAACTAACTCTTCTGGTAGCAGTAGAGCTCCTTGTAAAAGAGTTTGTCCAGGGAAGTACGACCTTACCTATTTCTACCGCCAAGCCGTAATATGAGCATTATTGCGTTCCGGCTTAGAAGGGAAAGGGTACATTTGTAAAAAAAGACAATCACATAAGTACAATATCAGCCGCAGAGCCAATCATCCTGCCCATAATCAGAACTAACTACGGCAAGAGGTCGAAAGGTTTTGAATAAGTGCAAATGTTTAACAAACTGCCGACTAATGTAAAGGATGCGGAGTTATTTAGTTTATTTAAATCAAAATTGTATAAACATATTATTAACTACCAACTACTGAAAAATTTAATAATGTGAATTTGTAAACAGTTGAACGCTAAACATATGTTTGTATATAATGATAGTATTTCATTGTGTAGTTTGTACCACGGCTTGGACTGGAATATTGTTAATTTACTGATTAGTTTTTAAGTTTTCATGTATGTGACAATTGTCTTAATGAGAATAAAGTATTTTTGAACTCAAGGGTGCTGGTGAAATGACAGGCACATGGGACTTGTCACCTTATGCGTCAGGGTGACGAGCGCAGTGGCAGTGCCTCTAAATCTTTGCGATTTGAAGCTCTGAGTGGTACTGCAACTGTTATGGATAGGCGTGTCGCTTACCATCAGGCGCACGACTTGTTCATCCCGTCACTTGGTATTATTAAAAAAAAAATCTATATTATCTCTTCTCTGGATGTTTGTGGTCGTTGTTTCCGAGTTTCATGACACAAGTGCTTTACTTACTTATTTTGAAATCAGAGCAACTTATGTGATGTTGTCTAATACTTATTTATTTTTACATGTAATATATTTATTGTCCACACCGCACTATAAGTGTATATATTTCTTTTGCTCGACTAACTCAAGTTTGTAACAACAAATGTTTAGTAACTATAAAAAAATTAATGCTGTTGTCTTTACTAAATACCCATTTAAAGAAAATAATTTTACAACAGTTAAATTCTTTTCATTAGTAAAGTAATTAAGGCAGTATTTATTCTTATTTTTAAAGTAAATGTTTCTATCATGAACTTACCTGCACAGGTAACGTTACAGTCTTTTCCCGGCTTGTTAGTATTGCTGCACCAATATCTGTCGTTGATTTGAAAGAGACCGTAGTCCCGAGAACCATTCGAGTTTGGTTTGCTTACTATATCAGTGTAGCGGGAGCTCTCGCTTTCTACCAGGCACACCCCTGAAGAAAATTATTATGAAAAAAGGTTTCATTTTATTCAATAAAGCCCCGCACTCGCGGACACACACATACGTAGACAACCACAAATTACACCTAAACTCACGAGACAAATAAATGTAGGACGTACAAATATTTCTCTCGGCCCGGGAATCGAACCTGAGACCTCTGCGTGGCAGTCCAGCATGGTAACCGTTCGGCCACGGAGGCAGTAAAGTGAAGTGTGACTCATCATCATCAACCCACTTCTGGGCAACGGATTTTTTGGACGAAGTTTGTGAATCTTTTAGTCGACGTGAAGGTTTCATTACGATGTTTTCCTTCACCAAAAAGCTCATATTACATTTCAAATTCGGAGTCTATGTGCAAAATTTTTTAAATAAACTCCGAAAAACTCAGAGGTGCGAGATCAAATCCACGGCCTCTACTTGAAAGGCGGTAGGTCGATCGATCAGGCTGCCACGGTTTGATTTGAATATAATGTTTTAAATCGTTTTTTGTAAAACTACTCCAGAAGTCTGTTATAATTATTTATATAAAAATCAAACACAAAGACAAATTCCTCCGTTTTGACAGAATTCGAACTTGCGTCTCGTCTGTATGCCAACTTAGAGTTACCGCTTTACCAACTGAACTATAGAGCGAGTCAAAATAAAGTTCCTTGTGTTCGATCTTTATAATAATAATTATAAGAAATATATGTATATATGTATATATGGAGTTCCTAGGTTTTCGCGATTGTTACAAATAGGAAATTAAACTTTTTTATTTAAAAAAAGTATCTTAAGATTATATTAATAAATGTGTAATTTCCTAAGTTTATGTATTATTACGTATAATTTGACAATGCCATCCAAACGCAAAGAACTCGGAAAAATACAACAGTACAAACGTAAAAACTAAATTAAGAAGTAGTAAGGTGCTTGTAAGACGTTACAAAGTACAAAAAGTTGTTCATTTTCAATGTTTAGTTAGATTAGTAGCAGTAGAGCTCCTTGTGAAAGAGTTCGTCCAGGGTAGTACTGCCACCTTACCTACTTCTGCCGCCAAGCAGTAATGTTAGCTTTACTGTGTTCCGGTTTTGAAGGGTAAGGGTGCTGATAAATTACATAGATATCTTTTTTCTCTATGATAAATTACATGCACATGGAACTTGTCATCTTATGTCTCAGGGTGTCGGGGGCATTGGCAGTGTCCCTCAGGTCATTGCGATTTAAAGCTCTGAGTGGCACTGCAACTGTTACGGACACGCATGTAGCTTACTATCAGGCGCACGACTTGTTCATCCCGCCACTTGATATTATAAAAAATAAATAAAAAGAGACTTATTAATGAAGGACTTAAAAAAATTAAATACTTACAATTTCTCAATTGTGATGCAGGAAATCCATGCTTCCTTAATTCGCGAACCAATTGACATCTTGTCAACTGATGTGAAGCTGATTCAGCACAGGCTATCAAAGCCAACGCAAAAAGAACCCACTTTAGCATTTTAAAATGTGAATATGTCCAAACAACTCTTCAGATGTTCAAATCAAGTATGCGAAACTAGGGTTTAGAACAGTTTATATACTTTCTATCTTTTTATCTTTCAGCCTTGCTCCACTTATTTTAATCTAGGCTAATCGTTGACGGAGGAAATGATTGTTTTTTTATTTGTACACTTTATTGTTTGTACGATTTAAAAAAAGGCACTAGAACGCTCTTCCCTGATAATGCTTTCCAAACATTGCAAAGGTAAATTCCTCGCATTGTCATAAAACTTTTATCGTACAATAAACTTCTATTACAATTAACTTCTTGGAATGATAATAGAAAGATGAACATTACTAATATTTATTTAGTCTGTGATAAACACATAAAAATGGTGAAGAAAGTACAGAAAGTAAAAATGGTGATTTTTTGACACCCACTGTGGTCGAGTAGCTTGCACACCGGTTTTCATGGTGTCACTATGTCTAAGGTCCCGGTTTAGATCTCCGGTCAGGTCAACGTAGAAAAACTAACTTTTCTATATTATCTCCGGTCTGGGTGTTTGTGGTACTGTCGTTGTTTCCGATTTCCATAACATTTCCCTTTTCGTCTATGAAATAAAGAGAAATCCGAAGTTTTGTACTTTTTTTATATTTGCTTTTTCACACAATCCAACGTTTCGTGCCCTTTGTTACAACACAGGCTCCATTGTTACAGCTGACTGACATTGAAAAAACAAATAAATGCAATTCAGATAATAGAATTTTAAATAGAGAATGTTTTCATTTCCAATGTTTCCAAATTGCAATAACCTAAGAACTCTATCCCTATAAGATGCGAGTAATACATTTGCCGTTTTTTACGTATATAAGATCATTGCTGAAGAACAATAAAGTCATACTGTGGTTAGATATCAGTAACTAGTGATAATCGTTTAGTGAATAATCATAAAATCTTCGTTGCGTTTACGTATTTTTTGACTCTCTTCCTAATCTAAGCGGTTGAGTAACTTGGTGACTTGCAAATCATTCCGGATAACAACGATAAATCTAAAAACCATTGTGAGTATCTTGGACGTTCTTAATAATCTGACCCTTATAACGACTACCAACTAAACTATGATGACCTTTCTTTTTTTATTACCCCAAGGAATCTGCTTACGGATACCCCGGCCCTACGGGGGCAAAGCCTGGGTTTTGTGGGACTGGGCTGAACCCTGAAGGGTAGCAGGCCGACTGCCAGTGGAGGTACCGGTACGCTATCCTTCGTCTGCGCCTCCACCAGCGGCTGGTCGCGCCCCGCGCAGCCCCTCCCCGAGAAAGGAGACAAAAAGCCTTTCATCTCGTGCCCCTCCATGCTGGGGAACGAACTCTGCCGAGTCTGCTGCCCAGGGGCCATGGGGGCCAGGACAACATCCCCTCAACTGTGACGTTCAGTGGATGCTTCCTTCAAACCCCGCGGCGGATCTGTTTCTTCTCTTACTACCCTACTTTCTTCTCTTTCACAGGTAATTATCTCGCAAAATGATAGAGGTATGATACTTTTGTCCAAAACCCGTAGTTCTACTTTTACTACATTATTTAATACATTTTTAATACAATATTAGTTCTATTCTTCTTAATAGCAGGTAGAATTCAAATTCTAAGGTTTTCGGTATTGTTAGATATTGGTCTTTTACATGCTCCGATACGTTGGTTTGTTTGCAAAAACAAATATACATGATATAGATACGAAAACATAGTTTCATTACCAGTATATACGTATATAATTCTTTATTGTACAAAGAAAATTCACATGAAACACATGTTACAAAAGACATATATAAAGGTGAGCTTATCGCTAAGTACAATTGTAAATACATCTGTACCTAGTAGAAAATTCCAGATCAGACGAAGTGTGCATTCAAGATGCCTGCAAAGTTACAAACAACTCTTAATATATATGGCCATAAGGTATTAATTCCTGCTATGGTGCACTACTACAAAATAAAACAACAACTGAAATAATTTATTGCCGTATCGTCTCATTGCAACCGATAGAGGACATTGAAAAATGGCCTAGACTCCATTTTTATTTTCAACTAGATTTCCCAATAGCCAAGATCGGTCTAACTTTTCTACAATAAAAGCAGTAAGATTGTGATTAATCAAGTGAGCAGTAAAAAATCTCACTAGTCAATTTTCTAAGAAAATTGTCTGTATAAAAAAAACCCGTGTGAAAGAAACTGTGCAAAAGATACCATTGCGAAGGAAAGATCATATTATATACAGGATGGCCCGTTTACAGTGGTCCAAATTTTTTTTTCAGATAAAGATTATTAAAACAACCTATTTAAAATAAACATTAGTTCCGCGAAAATCAATAGTTACACGAATTGTCAGTTTTGGTTTTTAGTGACTCAGTGCACGTCATGGCAATTTACGGACATGTTACAATAGTTGCAACACTACAATTTTATTAGTAAACAATCCCTACATCTTAAAGTAGTATTTAAGGCCTTTAGAAAATTCTGATTGTATATTTTTCAATCAGGATTTTTTGAAACTTTGACATTTTATAAGTTAACAAAGAAAACATCTCATAAAGGTCCAAAATAATGGCGCAATCTAAGAACAAACACAACAATGGCTTATTGCTACCTACATGGTCACACTACTTCTGTACCAAATTTCAATACTTTAATGGAATAGTGTCAAAACTATATGGTTGTTTGTTTGTATGTTTATTTGTTTATTCCTTTGTTTGTTTGTTTATTCGGTTGTTTGTTTAAGTTCAAATTACACAATGGATATAAATAGCAATTAAACAAATTGTAAAGACTGAAAATGTACTGCCATTTTAATTCTGTATAAGATATTGATTGCCGATTTAGAGAACTTCAACCCAGCTGCGTGGTATATGTGGTAACAACTGTGGACCGACTGCTGCATACCTCCCCTAAGGGAGACGGAGCAATATTCGAGCGTATCTGTGCCATCGGTTGGAAGTAATGTGTCTATTCGGAACAACATAATAGCTTTGTCTTAATAAAATTTGTGGATAAAGTCATGTACACCTTCAAAAAATTATAAATAGCACAAGTATGAATATTTTTATAAGAAACATACAATTTAATTTCATGTTCGTGACTAGAGTAGAAAATTTTCAAAAAAGTACAAAAAAAATCGTAACTTCTTAAATATTTGTTTTCGCTGAACTAATGTTAATTTTAAATGAGTTGTTACAATGTAGAGAACATTGTAACAACTCATTTCTCACTCACAACTCACCATAATAT